TTACCTATTTCTTATCACTCCTTAATATCTTCACCAAAATACAGTATTATTACACAATTATAATATCATTAGATTGGCCTTATTAAGCTGATTCAGTTGATATAAATAACTATTGTTAAATATGCTGTTATGGCCGAGAAATACGAGATTAGTTGGCCTTATCCGTAGATTACATGCCACTATTTGCAGATTAGTACCTTTTATTCGTAGATTACTTTTTCAATTGCACTATAAAACACGGTCGCATTCTTTCAAATTTAGTATCAATCAATTAGTTTAAATATAAGTAATTCAAATATGTCAAAAGATTCGTAAATATCTACTGTTATTGTTGAAAAACATCGTACTTTTGTGTCAGTAATAAGGTAGAATTGCTGGATGTCGATATATTGTAATTTTAGTACGCAGTTGTATGCACCTGTTTTGTGGGGTAATCTACGTTGTAGGACCGGCAAGGTAATCTACAAATAGCATCACTCATTCAATAAACCTCGATACGCCTATAAGGGACCAACGATGTTACTAAGAACCCAGTATATTATATCTGAACAAGGGGGCATGTGAAATTGGCATGATAGCTCCTGGCAAGCATGACCGATTTGAAAATGGGAAGGTTCGGGGGGACGGTGTAAGATTCGACATATAGCGGCATATTTAGGGCCATAAAAAGCAGAAACAAGCCACCATTATGGTAAAAGGGTACCAGCCCTGCTGTATCGATAATTCTCGAGCCCCTGAGATAGCTAGTGTAGTATCATACGTTGGGATTGGCGGCGAGCCGAATGAAAATGAGACAGTACCATTGCCTATTCCACCTTCAGTGCCTGTCCTGAGTGAAGCAGTGATAAGTATACTAGGTATAGTAGGGCTAGACTTGGGGGAAACCGTAGTCAGAACAGTTTCGATGATAGTTTTAATGACTGTTTGAGTTAGTGTCCTGGTCGATCCGGTGGCCGGCACCGACGCGAGAGTAGCAGTATTTAGGGTATCGCGTATGGTGCTCACGGATTCATGATTGATGCTGGTTTGGCTGGCCTTTCCGACAGTCGGAAAGCAGTAATCAGGCTCAAACTTCACGGATCCTAGACCTGTGAGCGTTCCAATCCCCAATTCGAAACCAATAGTCTCGCCAGAGGGGATTTCCAAGCCTAAAGACCCTATTACCAAGACAAGCAAGGTGAACAGAGTTTGCATTTTCTCTAATGTTCATGATAAACGGCATGAGACATGCCGCGGAGATCGAGAGTGAAAAATAATGTTCCATATCCAGACAGGAATGACATTTTAAATCTTTTTAAGGAGGTCGTTATTAGACACTTCACTATAATTTTTCATATAATATCCCAAACTTAGAGTCCTCTTTTGAAACATAGGTAAATTTGGGGTATAAATAGAAGCAGCGTATTCTCGGACTACCTAAGCGCACAACAAGCGAGGAGATCCATCAGTGTCCTAAAACAGACTCAACAGCGGCTGAGGATGATGATTATAGACTCTAACAGCCTCATGTATCACAGAGGTGATGGGAATAAATGGTTTACATGACAGGTTATCCACTAGATAGTTATCCCTCTGAGTCCCGGCGGCGCGCGTACTTGCGACTTCAGCCAGACCTTGGTGGTTTAGGTACTTTGAAACGCCTGACCAACTTCTCCATACGGACCAGCTCCCGTTGGTGAAAACGAACGAAATCGGTGTTCACTTTCCCTTTTCGACCAGTGTGTAAGATTGTTGGTTCCTATAACGGTTCTTAGTGACAATCTTATTGTCGGGCCGTTCATGGGACTTACGATATCCTTCATGGCAGGGGGGAAGTTAATATCTCGTGTGGGTTGGAATATTTCATACTCCCCGTTTATCTTATCCCGGGCGACGATGGTAATATCGAGGTTAAAGAGGCCGGCGTACTCGACAATCTTCCTATGTAGTGATCTGCCCCGTCTCTTGCGCATGACTTTGAGCCGGCTGTCCAGATTTCGTGCTTTGGCCATATCTTTTACTTAATAAATATTAATGGATTCTGTTTTTGACTGAAGATGGATGTATTTCTGGTTAGCCATACCTTACTATTGAAATAGACTTGGGCTTATATCTACCTTATAGCAAATCTGTGACAACATTCAACAGGTGTGGCCAATTCCGGTATGCTACAACGTACCATTTCTAAATCCCTTGCGACTTTCATGGTAAAACATTCGGAGCCTAACTCCCTTATTTGATCGGACCGGCCATTTTAGGAATAGGTAGTCACTAGGTCGTTGTGATATTACAAGGGTTTGGCTTTGACCCTGGCCTGGCCCCCGATTTTCCTTTACTTCACGGCCCGCATGCTGCCAAATGAGCGTGACTTCGGCTACAGATAGATAGGAAAATGGCGTCTAACACCCAATAACCGAACCGGCCCGAGCGGTTAAGGTGAGTAGAGTACGAGAATAGAAGTTCAGTTGGCAAAGAAATATCTATTGACGACAAGGATGATTGAAAGCGCTTCTAAGTTGACCAGTCTACATAGGCGCCAAAGTATTACAGAGATCCTGTCCCGTGTAGTCGGTAACCAATTGAATACGAATTTTCCGGTATCATAAACCGTCGAACTTCCCATCCTCATCCGTATACCCACCCTTCCTAAACCGAAACCCCTGAATAGCACCAACATGTTCCATAAAACAACAGGCAATTCACCCCAACTGAGAGTGGCAGTGTTTCTATATTCCAGAACAGGCATCCGGAAGCGTCTGTTGGTATCCGGAAATGTCCCAGGCATCATGGGCAACAGTAATAGTGCTACCGTAATGGTCCACAGCTTTTTTAGTACCTAACTACCATGCGAGAGCATCGTCAAACTCGCGAAATAATGACAAGGTATTATTTTTACAGCTTCTTAAGTGATGAATTACCAACATGTGAACTCGCGTACCTAAGGTATGCTTCTAAAATAAGCGCAGGCAAATAGTTCCCCCACCTACGTATTAACAACTTAAATATGCGTCAACTTCAGAGACATATTTTTCCATTGTAATTCCATATCAACAATCATCCTTAAGTTACAGTAATTCATAAGCACATACATTGATTCTCCATATCAAAGTTTACCATGTCAAAGTTTACCATGTCACCACCAATCACTCGCCAGCTAGCAGTTCCTGAATCACCTAGCACAAGCGCTGGTGCTATGCCTAATGACCTAGCCCTCCCTCCACCCTCTCAAGACCTAGGCTATCACCAGCCTCAAGGTCTGAGTTTTGCATCTTCTGGGTCATTCCCTCCACTCGAAAATTTCGATTTCGAAACAGCATTATCCCAGGCACCGCAGACTGGGTGTCCAACCGACCCCCCCAACATATTGTGGGACTCGTCCTTCCAGACAATTCCTAACTATCCATCACTCGATGCTTCCATTCACATATCCATTCACCTCCTTACATCTCAAATCAATTCCCTCAATACTCGTATCCATGAACTGGAGATGGGATATAAAAAAACGAATGCTATAATTGAGGACTTCACGGCCTGGTCCAAGAAGATGGAAAAACACTGCAACGAGATGAACAATACTTTATTGGAACTATTTGGGATGATTCAAAAACCAGAGTTCCTCCGAGGTATACTTGATGAGGCCTATGAACCCCCCCTATAGAACAGTGGGCCTAGGAATAGGTGATCGATTCCATCTCATAGACTGCGTTATCGCATTCCATGATCACCCCCCAATAGGAAACCCAGTTAGCTTCCACTTTTTCACTTTTTGTATCGAAGGCATGGATGGCGGGAACTAGATATCGGAGGAGATTGGTAGTTTCTTTAAGTAGTGACAACGTAACAGAGAACCGTTTAGTTGCAATTTCGATCTCGTGGTGTAGGATCAACGCCTCCTTTTCTAGTTTGTGTAATTGTGATACATTTTCGGCATGCTCCATATCCTCCAAACAATGAAATATATCTTGAATCAAAAACTCAGTATTTTCGATCGGCATGATGAATAGATAGGCCGGGAGAGGCCGCGATTACAAAGAATGGTGTCAAAGGACAATGTAGGGTATCAGGTTGAGAGGTACAACGTAAAAGAGATAGAAATGAATAGGAAGGGGAATCGATAATATATTGAGCCAGATCCTGCCAGCCCAGTATTACCGTAACACTAGGAAGTACGTATACGAGCGCAGGTGCCAAAAACGGCTCATATGGAAGTAGAAATCGGGTCCATCTACGAAGAAGGACAATGCCGTACCCCTACACCAGCAATAATAAAACCAAGTACCAAGCCGATGCACCATACTAGATCCCCATTTTCTACTTGCAGATACTCGACCTTCCGGAGTAGGGAGGGTGTTGAAAAGGTGATTGATGCAGCCAGTATCAAAGGAATAAATACTAGGACAGTAACGCTTATCTCTATTATGGCCTTAAGGAGGGGGATGCGGGAGAAGATGCCGAATGTGGTAATATCAATAGTACGTAACGCAATGATCAGCGCAGCAAGAAGGAGAACCCCCACCAAAGTTGTGATCAAGCAAGAACGGACATTAACCTTGAGGCCAACGGATATGAGCGGATCAATGCTGTCAAGGTCTAGGAGAGTGTTGAGGGGGCTTGGAAATAGAGATGAAATATCAGAAGGAATGTTTTGACAGCTAATGTTATCATTCTTAGCAATATAACAGATTTGATAAGTTCCAAGGGTGATGCTCTCCGGGACATTGCCTAGAGCTGAGACCGCACTTGTTGCTTGAGAAATACCCTCGGAAACTCGCGTGGCAATATGAGAAATGATACTTTTCGCATCTGTTGGGAGTTCCGGAATGTTAGTGACATGAGGAAGGTCGGTGATGTCGGGAAGGTCGGTTAGGTCAGAAGGTGAGGGAATGTCTGGGAGTTGGGTAATGTCGGGGAGCTGGGTGATATCGCCAAGCTGCGTAATGTAAGGAAGTGGGTTGACCTTGGGAATTTTGAAGGCTTTTCGGGGCAATAGCTGTGGTAGATCCAACTTGATTTTGGCAATCCCGCTTGTGCCCATTTTATCCTGAGCAATGCTCACGATGAGAAAGATAGCACTACCAGCTAACAAGATTATTGACGCAATAGTCTTCATACTGTCACGAACTAAATGTAAGATGAGATAGTAGAAGAGAGACGACAACAAGATAACACGGACTTGATGAATTGAGGAAAACGCTACAGATAAAGCGGTGTAGCCTAGGTAAATAAATATAGGAAATAGGAGCCAAAAGCGGCCACCATCTATTCACAGGTATCCTTCTTCCGTAATTCCTGGGCTCTCTTGTATCTCATTTATAATAGGTATGATTCGTGCAAACCCTTGAGAGTACCTTAAAGCAATGCTACGGAAATAGCCCTCTCGGCGGACGGCAGCGTCGAGCTTTTCCTGTGTAGTACTAATCCTCTCATCGGCCACATTCTGCTTTTCCTCGACGCTAAGTCGCAATTTAATCTCAGCCTCTAGCTGGAACCTTAGAAGGTTCAGCTGTTGGGTTAAGTAGTCGTTCTGAACTTGGAGCTCATTGATTCTCGAGGTAAAGCTTGGAGGTTCGGTACCAATAGAGACCTATATCTGTCAGAAGATATGGAAGGCATGCTGATGAGTACCTACAAATGCATCTTGGCCTGGATATGAATCCGGAGTGGCTCTCACTGCCTCAAAAGTAGTTCCCACTCCCTCGCACAAATCTTTGTATGCTCTAGCTGAGTGTTCGCTCAAATTCTTAGAAAACAGATGTTGCTTCTCGGGAAGCGCTCTCCATAAGTAACCATCCTCACGAGTCGATTGCAGCCTCACTTGCGATGGTTTTATATTTATACCCAAATGCTTTTCTGTGATTTTTCTTAGTACCGGTCAGATTCTTGCGGATAAAGAACTAACCAATATGTTCACTCAGCTTCTCCCGACATTTAGTACGCCATTTCCCACGCTCTATGTTACTCTGTTTCGACATTTCTATAACCTTAAGTAAAAACCGAAAAGTCATTCTTCCTACATAAGCTACTTAGAGGATCTATCTTTCTTTTTCACCTTCTTATGGGCGAGTGAGGGTTACATCCGTCCGTTTCTAGCCAGACAGCCAAAAACGAAACCGCTCACTGGCTGATATCGTCCATGCAGATCAGACAATTTACGTAGCCTCCTCAAACGACCATGTATCGAAGACAGAAGTGGCATCATCCCATGCATTTCTTATCTTAATCTTGGGCTGACGAATATCTTCAACCATATCGGCTTTTCTTTTCAACCCCCTTGCAGTTGCTATTAATAGTTCTTCCGGAACGCGGTGCAGGTCATGCATATGGCAGACGAAGGAATCGCCGTTTTTGAACTCCTCAGCGCAACGCTCGTCTGGGCAATGCTGTCTTCGCCAGCGCAACCCGTGGTCCCTAACCTCAGCTTCCCATTTGCTTTTGGTACAGAACTGGCGCAGGCGGCTGGCCGCCGAAAGGGACGTGTCCCATAGGCAGTACGGACAATAGCCTGGCAAGAATGTGCTTTCTACTCTCTCGTATGCTACCTCTACTGGGAGATGGTCCAGGCTCAAATGCGAGTGACAGTGTTGCTCCCAGGCATCGAAATCGTAGAGCCATTCGTTACAAAAGAAACAAAACTCTGCAAAATGGTGTGACTTCTTTGTGCAGCGGTAGACGTGTAGTTGGGTTCTGTTATATGAGTAAATGTAAGAAGACCTCGTAATATATGAAATGATACTTACTTCGGATTGCATTCGCAAGGACATTTGTTAAGCCCTGGGCGATAAACTTCCGACTTGCTCCGATAAAGGGCTATTAGCTCCCGTAGTGCTTCTCTCCCCTTTTCGCTGCGTAGTCTCGACGACATAGGTAGGAGGTCAGCCAGCCTACGACGGTTTGGAAGGATCGGTCTCAATCTCGAAAAGGGGCGATTCACTCCCCTGCAAGCATATACTTCAGATCCGACAATATTTCCTGTGGACGTCTCTTCCCAATATTCCTGAAGCTTCATCTGTTCAAGTCGTTTTATATCCCTTCTAGGCTTACGGTTAGGATGAAGGAGGTTTTTGCATTCCTCCGAAGATTCGCTCCCCTCCTTTACCACTAGACTCGCTGTTTCCAACTTCACCTTTCCGAGAAGTGGAAGCTTCTTAGCCTTATATTCTTCTGTTTGCATCAGCTCCCTCTGTTTCATTAAAGGCAACGACTGCCACAGAGATGGCTGCCATTCTACCTCGATTAGACGAAAGAGCCTCCCGAGATTAATTAGTCTGGCTTCATTATCCTGATATACTGCTTGGCTATCGATGCCTCCATTTCTAGCAGCATAGTGTTGTTGATGCATCTGGTTATTCTCGTGGCCAGCAATCCTATTCCTTTGGGTATCCGAGTAAAACGGTTTCAAATCTAAAGCCGTGAGTGTACACACATAATCAATATTTGCAATCACGATCAATACTTACCGATATTAGTAAGACCTTCTGCTCGGAAATCGTGGAATGTAGGGGGTTTCGGGAATCCACTTCTGATCCCTAATGCCCTCAATCCCTCACTTACCTCCCGCGCTCTTAAAATCTTCCCACTAATTCCCGTGAATAGTGGTTGGTTTAAAACGCTTCGGTGCCAATGGATACGCATTATAGGCGTATCTTCGCATAGTTTTAGGTCTAGGAGTTTAAATAAACCTTCTTCCCCACGGTAATCCCTCAAGGCTCCGTTCACGCAGAATATGACGAGAAAGAACAGCAATGGGTTCATGTAGAGAGGCTGTGGGGCGACAAACCCCCCCTCGTGGATATCTGGCTGTGGTCTAAATGCTCGTCAGAGCTCATACGGTGCTGTAAAATAGAGATTCCACCTACAGCTTGCTTGATTTAGGGTGCTTGCCCTTTAAGAACTTGGTAAGTTGTAACGAAAATTCTTCCAACCCATGCTCGTTTCGAAATATAATGAATTCTGTATCCTAAGCAAGATGTTAGCGTCTCTCTACCTAATCGTATTCATTGTAAACTGAACCTTATAATGTAGCCCAATGCCTGTCCCAAACCTGGATCCAGACTCGAGGTAGTCAGAGATACGGCCGCTTGTATAAGCTCCCGCAGAAACAGCTGCCCAAAGATCTACGCGGAAACGTGGGCGTGAAAACGTCTTCCAATCTAGAGACCAGAGGAAACATCCCTCCCAAGCAAAAGTGACTTCAGTGGCATGTCTCCTTGGCCCTGAATCTGGTACAAGATTAAGGAGCTTGCCTAATTCTCCTCGAGGTTCGATAAACTATCAAATATGAGTAGCTCATTCAGTTATACCTAGGATTTCAACATCACAAACTCTCTTGATAGATGTGACAAATTCATCTCGTATGGGGCCTCGATATATTCGGTAGCCAGCTGTAAATTGCTTCCAGTAGGATTTTAAACCGCTATATGGCAGAGTATCCTCAGGACGCAAATCTTTATGTTTACGTATTGCCTTTCCCATGCGAAGCACAAACTCCTTGAGATCGGCTAGATTATCAACTGTTTTTGGACCCCATTTCTTGTTACTAGCTTAATTTAGTGCGCTGATTAGCAGATAAATTTGAAATAGATGCCTACTAGTCATCCCAATTTTGAAGTTGGCGGCGGTACTCTCTCTTCGTGCATTCGTCGACATTTTTAGGGACAGGGCTCTCGTTAACGATCGCTATGTTCACATCGATGTCATCTTCCATATAGTTCCTTCTGTGCGGTCCTCTGGAGGGCTTCATCGTAGTATCTACTTAGGTAAGGAAATATTTCCAGGAAGTCAAAAATTGATTATTATGGGAGAGGACAGATCAAGCGGCCATGAGAAGGGTAAAGCGAAGCAGGCCCCTTTTGTACCTACTCTGAGAATCCCTCTGCTATAAATGGCATCACCCCTATCTTCCGCATTAAAGTCTCAACACTATACGATTTCAGACTAAGGTGCTAGCATCTCTCATGATATTGTGAATATATTTGACGAATGAATTCACCTAGCTCCCCTAACCCCATAAACACCAGCGCTTGAGGAGATGCATGTCCCTATAGATTTAGTCGGCCGTCATCCTCCCCATTAGATATAATAGTTGCATAATTCATCACGTTGAACCTAGTCATTCCATGACATTAAGGGAGCACGGGTGGTGACGACGCTGAAAAACTTTATTAAATTAAAGAGGTGCCCCCTGAGTACTAGTATCAAATTCTATCCTGTGATATGCAGTCATCAAAATCGCGGGAACCAGCCAGATCAGCTTCTGCTTATCTTTCTTTTCCATAAACTTATGCTCTAGCAGCTCTTTGATATTAGGACTCGTAGTTGTCATAGTGAATAGCTCAAAGGCATCACGCGACCAGTTTTGGGGCTGTGTCAATCCGACCGTTGCCTCCTTATCCTTTTTCTTATCCATCAGTCTCATCACCATTCTGCTAAATGAGTCTCTAAGTTTTGCGACTTTACCCGATGAGCTACAATGTTCAATGTCACATATTTTAACATCACCATCAAAGTCCATGAGAACGTTGGCACAAGATAGCTGCTCATGGACTAAACCGTGGGTGAGGAGAAACTCAACTCCCATGAGGACCTATAATACCAGTGAGCCTTGATATCTCTGTTACGGGATGACACACATACCTGATGCAGTATCGAACCGAGTTGCGGCTCAGTTGGATAAATCGGTGCTTGGCATAAATGCATGAGAGAAACTGGCATAAACTCGGATATGAGATAATAGTCCTGGTCAGAGGATATATATATTTCGATATTCTTAACAATATTCTCATGAGATAATTGTCGAATATTCTGGATCTGCTCATCTAGATTGGAACCAGAAATTGTACGAATCATCGACTGCCGGCCCTTGCCGTCACGAGGGATGATGATGCCAAACGATGAACCACCATCCAAACGATATTTCCTCTCGTAATGATTCCAGGGTGAGCCGCTAATAACAGGAACAAGCCGAACTTCCCCAGGTAGTCGTTTCACTGGATATCTACTTCGGGTCCTGGGTAGCTTACTTTCAGCAAGGCGAGTAATATGATTACTAGGATGAGATGGGGATTGGCATTGGGCTGCGACTGTTTGCAAAGGAACGCTATCATCTTCCTTCGACAAGGCATCCTCAACGAAAAGGGTAAGTCGTTTCTGAGAAGACATTTTCAGTCATTTCACGATATTTATCAGGTAGGACAGATATTGGAGGTTTGGGCGCATTGATCTTATTTATAGAGGGAAAGCCAGCGGCTGATTTTAGCCTGCACCCAGTTTGCGGCCGGAATCGTCACAATCATTTTCTACTTGAACACATCAATTTACCAGATTAATCAATCCTGGTGAACGATGATGCAGTATTTAACAATACAATTTTTTTACTAAGTCAATCAGAGCGGCTACTGCTAACCAGTACAAAGATTTGAAAGACATTAGTGAAGCCGACTCAGAACAATGTTTTTCAATATTGAGACTCAATCCAAACAACTTGATGCAGAGTTGGAATCTAAATTTGGTGGGTATGCAAAGGTCGCATTGGATCTTTTATTTTTTGATACAGGCGAAGAACCTGACGAGGAAAGGATAAGGCACCTTCAGAGAGTTTTCAAGCGAGTTGGATGCGATCGATACAACCCAAACAACTACATTTCAGGGACCATCTCCGCGGATGTACTACACGCGTCTCTCAAGCAGTCAAATCTGAGGCCGGGTGACTTACAGGGTCGTGAGCTACCTGAACTTCATTTGCCGGCCGGCCAACAGGTACGTTGTCTCGGTGGACGTCATCGTATACTTGCACTTAGAAAGTACAACCGCTCCGCATCGTGGTGGCCAATTAAGTTATTCGTCAGTTAGTAAAATCTATTTAATCCATGAAAGGTATAAATACTGATTTCTTAGATCTTACCCCTGAGGCCTGTCGGTTGGTATCAGAGGGGTTTGCTAACGAGGCAAAATATTCGGACGGCGAAATCGTTGCAAATATCCTTCGCTATCCAGAGCATTCCGTCGACGCGAATCAGTGGTGGGCGAGACTTGATAAGAGTAAACCAAGAACACTAAAAAAAATCCTTGGTCACCCTACATTGGGACCGGCTTTTAAGAAGGTGTTGAGCATTCCGGGTCTCCGCCCTGGGCTTCTTTTGGCCCCTTGGCATAAGATATTGAATTGCGTCGAGGTAGGGTTCCTAAAAAATAGTAGACACCTCACCCTTTTTATTTTCTCTTTACTAACTATTGACTTCCTAGGAAGTCATCCATTACCTTGGCGAGATCTACCAGACGTGGGTCTACATTGTAGGGTCTGAGCGTGACCTTAGATTCGTAGATAAAGACGCAGTAATGGAACTTCAGTCTCGCGTCCCGGGGGTGTCATATTGCGATGAACGTCATGTCGAATACGAAATGCGAAAAGAAACCATATTTAGGGGCGTAACAGGTATGAGAGAAAGGGAGTTCATCTTACGCAATCTGAAGCAGGTTATGCGCTTAATCCCATCCATCCACACTCTACAGCAGGATTTTAAATACCTCCGACAATGTACCTATGTTATGAAAAAGTTGATCGGTGATGGGATTCAAGCTCCAATCACCGTACGCATCATGGCTCAAAACTCATTTCGGGGCAACGAAGGGCAGCCCGTTAATCATGAGGGAAGGTTTCTACCAAGTTTGAAGATTCTTTATCTACATATCATGCAAGATATTTGTCAACTTTCGGGGCAACCTCCGCTAAAGGATAGCGATAAAGAACCAGATTATGAGTTATTACCTAATAATGCGATATCCTGGCATACATTAGCGGTCCGGGCGAGGGAGCTGGGCTTCTCTTCCGACGAGATTATTCGTCTATGCCACACGGATCCCGACCGAGAAATGGCTATCAAGGCGTTGTATGAAGCTCGACCTCGGGAAAAGTTTGACTACGGGGGGCATTTTGACTATATAGTAGCTTCATTAGTCAAAGCCTTTCAGATAGTACAACCAGTCGAGTCCCAGAAACCTCCACCGGGGCTAACCTCACATACGGGAGAGCGAGTCGAAAGGAGATGTGGTCGTGTATACTCGAATACTTACGATAGAGATCGCTATTTCATAACCCTGGAGAACGTCACTCGTGAAGTACAGAAGGACGTCGATATTACCTCGCTCTTCGTCCGGGTATCCGTGTTCCACATGTTTTGGGGTTGGGAAAATGATCATCAGAGCCACGTACGGAGCAACCCAACAAACGGCCCGGGTCACAACGATGATGAATTAGATGATATAATGGAGGAAGCCGAAACCACAATGGATAGGGGGTCTCATAATCAAGTATGGCAAGACGTCACGCCAGAATCTGAAAATCTGGAAATGGAAGACGCAGCACCTATCGTACCGCAACAAAATAAAAAACAGGAAGTGGCAAGACGGAAGAAGCCACAGAATGGTAAGGGCCAATCTACAGTGAGCAATAGGAAAAGAAATATCGCGGAGACAAATAAGCGGAAACCCCAGCGACTTCATAGAGCAAAAGCAGTTGCAGATACACTAACTAAAGAACAACAGCCTACAAGTTTAGCTCTAACAACATCGGCACCTGCCCCTTCTGGTCTCATGCCGCAAAACGAATCTCAGGTTCCACCACAAAAGATGGTCATACTAGTACGAGAGAAAGGGGACTGGAATAATATAGGGGAATATCTACGTGAGGATATTGTAGAGAATTTAAAAGAAGCATGGAATATGCGCGAAGGTTATAGCTTGTATACCAGAGATGGTCGCGGCATCGCTATAGATGACTGCCCAACTCATAACGATTGGCGCGTATGTCTTAGTAAGGATGGTCCTGGAGAAGGATTTCCGGCGGACGAGACGCTATGAGCAAGAAGGCTGATTTGAATGGAAATGGTAAAATATATTGCTACGATATTATAGATAATCTTTACTAAACTTAACTTGAAAGCATCTGCTCCTCGATTCCAGCGAAGTTCAAATCCTGACCCTTTTCAAACGTTACAGCTCCATCCTGAATTCCCGGCAGAACCCAAATATCCATACAACTTGTATAGACTTCCATACGCCCCTGGGGTGTCGTGTTGGTAGGGATGGTGGGCCATTCCCAAACCCAGTACAAGGTGTAGTTATCATAGATGTCCATAGGAAGTCGCAAATCGTTCTGGCACCAGAGATCGGCTCCTTGGGGGCGCATTGCGACTTTAGAATACGTTCTCTGGCGCTGCGAAGAGATTGGCCCGCTGTTAATTTGGTAGCATCTCCCATCATCAAAAGGTCGAGTGGCCAGCAATGTACCCCTTCTATCTCCTCCTGTTCCTTCAGCATTCCAGACACGATGAACAGATAGAAGACGTTCATCTTGAATGGGAAATGAAGTACCGTAGATGAACACAGTAGAACTTTCAGGCTTTTGTGGTGTGTTGTTAAGGAGGGTGACATGGCCGTTTTCCTGGTATTGTAAAGCCACAAAGTCGCCCGGTCGGGCCTGTAGTGGAGGGAATGCAACGTTGAATTGATCAACTGTCTGTTGGGTATCCCGACAAATGGGATCAGAAGGAAGGATTCCTAAGCTTTCGTCTCGACCGGGAGGCGGAAGCAAATATTGTTGCTTTAAGTCATTAAATGTTGCGTCATATCGTGACATAGCGCCGCGAATGAAGCCTTCATTTCCGACCATAGTTCCATTTAGGTCAAGAAGCCTTAGTCGTTCAACCCATGAATGAGCCATAGAAAAAGGTAGCATTAAAAAAAGGATATTCACGAGTGTCATATTGGAGATCTGCGATGAAATATTATTCTTCCCAGATAACTACCTAAGAGGTACCTAACCTAGTTGAAGCAGTTAGAAGATATTCTGGTTTCTTATATAGGTACCTACACCTACGCTACCGAGTCCATGGACACCCAGTATACCCTGAGTAGAGGACGGATTCAGATATGGCCAAAAACCGCACAAGGTCAATTATGTCTACAGGCCTACACATTTGCCAAACTTGTCTCTCGACCTTACCGTTTTTCATCAGAGGTCCGTTTTATTCGTACTCCTCGTATAAGTTAGGAGATACTTAAGGTATCGCATAAACCTTGCATAAATCCAGCGCCTCCGGAGACATGGCTGAGTCGAACCTGAGGAAAAAGCGGCGGATGCACTATACCCAATTAATCCAAAAAAAGACTCGATGTAAAACCTATAACCTATTATATACATACAGGAGGCACCTCTACGTCGGCGATGCACAATAGCCTTGAGCTTACCCAAGGCCATATCACATGACCCCGAGCGCCCGGCCGTCCCCCCGTGCGGCGAGGCGTACGGATCCGTAATAGGCACGTGATATAGCCTTGGCGCCAACAATTACCTTTCCGTACGGAATACGGGTTACAAGAAAACATAATTTTCCCGTCACCTATCGACTATGTGATAAAACGTTTCTCTGCAATTGTTTCCATCTTGTAATTTTCTTTCTATTCCGTCCACTCTGCCTTACAATACTTGCTCCTTGCTGCGGCCAAAGAACTCACACCTGCAATAGAAGTGCTCCCTAGAATGTGAAAGATGGCAAAGTCGACCTGAAGCTCCTTTGCAAACCAGCTGCGCAGATCAACAGCCACAAGCGAGTCCACGCCGTAGCTGTGCATCGGCTGGGAAGCATTGAGCTCCTCTTCTGGCAGGGAGAGTGTATCGGCTAGCTTCTTTATGAGTGCCTTCGTCACGGCAGCACTAGCCTCTGTGAGCGACGATGCAGCGGCGAATACCTTCTCAAAGTTGACCACATCCGAGGAAGCTGTGCCGGCGCCTCCATTTGACATTTTAGTGAGGATTTGTCGGAACGACGGCTTTGTGAGCCAGTACGCAACATCCGTGTTTGGCTGATCAGCGGCGGCGTCGTGTACAATGGTCTGGCAATCCAGGGAATTGACATAAGACTCTGCCGGGTTGCAGTAGTAGTCCAGCAGCGCAAAGAGCTGCGGCTCGGTCATGGGGTTGAAAAAGGACCTGGCGCAGAACTTTTCCAGCAACGACTTGTCTCCGCTGAGGACGCCAGCCGAGAGAAAGAGGCCGAGGTTGATGGACGCAGCTCGCTCGCCCTTGGATACGCGGTACTGCGCGAGGGCGTTTTTGAATGTGTTGCCCGCGGCGTAGTTGGACTGGCCTCTGTTGCCGATGATGGCGGAGATGGAGGAGAAGAGCACAAAAATTCCATGCCATCTGGAAGCAAGGAATGCAAGTTCCAAGACTCTTGGATCTTTGGCAGCGTCGATTCCTGCCACGACTCAAAAGTCATGCCCTCAAACATGCCGTCTCGAAGGACCATTGATGACTAGATACAACCCCGGACGACAGGCATATCTCTAAGGCACTCGTCCAACGCAAGCCTGAGTGCCTTTCGGTCAGCAATATCACAGGCTGGGGTCTTCACTTGAGTTCTGCTGCTGGTTAGCTCGGCGACGAGTTCTTGGGCCTCAGTGGACTTGGCGCCGGATCGTGACAGGAGGATGAGATGCCGGGCACCACGCTCGACGAACCAGCGCGAGACGCTTCGACCTAGACCTCCAAGGCCGCCGGCGATGATGTATGTCGCATCGGTGTTAAATTGGAAGTTTGGCTTTACGTCTAGAACAACCTAAAAGCTATTAGCAATTGCTTGGGCCATGCCGGAATGCAACTTACGTTAACCGTATCGTCCGGCTTAAACTCAACCACAACCTTGCCCATATTGTCTCTGCTCTGTATGGTACGGAAGGAATTTTCCATTTCAGAAACGCCATATACCTGGAGAGGCTCCGCTGGTTGGAGAAAACCGCTTTCGACAAGAGGCAAGATGTTAAAATGAGTGGTTAAAAGACTATTTTTAGGTATAATATATGGTATTTTAGCATGGAATATATATATAAAAAAAAATTTCTTTTTTATTTATATAATTGGTAAATTAAGTTAATATATAATTATAGTTTATATATTATATTTTTTAATAAATTATAAGTTTAAAATTTACGTTAATAAAATAAATATTTTATATATAAATTAAAATAAATTAATTTAAAATAATTTTAAATAATTAAAAAAATTATTAAATTAAAATAATATTAATATTTAATAATAAATTAAATTAAATATAAATAATTTTAAATTTTAAGTTTATTATAATTTTTCCGAAAAAATATTACGTTTAAACTTTTTTAATTGATAAGGTAATTGATAAGGTAATTGATAAGTAAATGATAAGGTAATTACGTAAAAAATACGCGGTAATTGCGCGCGCGCGCGGAGCGCGAACGCGCCTTCGGAAAGATATCACGTGCGCGCTTGCGCGCACGTAAAAACGGCCCGCGAGCTTGCAAGCGGCCGTTTTAATAAAATTTTATTTTTAAAAAAAACGATAATTATATTTTAATAAAATTATAAATTTTAATATTTTAATTAATTATAAATATTAATTTTAAATATTATAGATTATAATGAAAATTTTAAAAAAATTATTTATAAACGTTTTATTTAAATATTTATTAAATTATAAACGTTAATTATTAAATATTATTTAAATTTAATAAATATTATAAAAAAATTATAAAATAAAAAATAATATAACTTTTAAAATAAAAATGTTAATAATAAAGGAAAATTTTTAACTTTTAATATAATAAAAAAAACGATATTACGATTAAAAAAACGTTAATAATTTTTTCCGTATTAAATAAATAAAACATTTTTAAAGTTATTATTAAAATTTTATAAATTAAAGTTAATAATGTTATTTTAAAATAAATTATAAATGGTAAAATATAAATAAAAATTTTAATATATTAATAAAATTTAATTTTTTTTAATTTATTATAATAATAATATTATTATATTTATAAATTAATAATATTTAATATAATTAATTAAAAAGTATTATTTAATAATGTTAATAATAATAATAAAAGCGGAAATATTAATGTTAAAAAAATAATATTATTTTATAATTAATAAATATTTTTAACGTTTAAATAAATAACGTTAAATTTAATTATTTTTTTTAATTAATAAATTATAACGATTATTATAAATAATGTAAAATTATAAAAATAATTATAAAAATATATAATAAATATAATTATATAAATAAATAAATATTTAATATTATTAAAAAAATTTTTAAATATTTACAATTATAATAAATTATTGTTTAACGTAAAGTTATTATATTTTTAAAAAATATTTTTTTTGATATATTAAAATAAATAACGAAATTTAAAAATATAATAATTAAACTATTTTTATAAGTTAAAAATTATTTTAGTTTTTAAATTTAAATTCGTTAAAACGGGTTTTACCCGTTTATTAAACGTTATAAACGCCACGTAACGTTTAACCCGTGTGTTTATATTTATAAAACATGTGTGGAAATTTTAACGAATTTATGTTTAAAATTTATTTAAACTTAAATATAATTTATTTTTTAATTTAATGGTAAATAAAAAAAAAATTATATTTATAATGTTTTAAAATATTATAATAACGTATAAAATAATTTTAATTAAAATAATTCGGAATTAATAATATATTTAATTTATTTTTTTAACTTTTTTATATACGCATATAACGTTACGTTTTTATATATTAAATTAAAACGTTAAAAATTATTTAATTTTTAAAACATTATAATTAATATTATAACATTATAATATTATATTTAATATTATATATATAAAAAAACGTTTTTTATTTTAACTTTAATTTATTATTAATGTTATTTAAACTTTCCTGTTTTTTTATATATTTATATAACATTACTTTTTTATATATTAAACTTTATAACGTATGTTATAACCGGTATTATGCCCGGTGTTACGGTTAATATTAATTATTTTTATTAATATTATAATATTTATAACATTTATAACCACATATAAAATACTTTAAAAGTTATTATTTAATTGTTTAAACTTTTTTAACTTTTTTTTTTTACTTATACAATTTTATTACATATTGCAATTATTACATTATAATTAATATTATAATTAATATTACGGTTAACGCGTTACAACCGTTATAACCATTTTTAACGTTTTAAAAAACTTAAAACGTATAAATTTAATCAATAAATTTAATAATAAAATTAATTTAATTATATAATTAATTATTATTTATTATATAAATATAAAAACGCGTTAATATCGTTATTTTTAATAATTTTATTAATTTAACAATATTTTTAAAAAACAAAAACAATTTTTAATAAATATATATTTAAAGTAATTTTAAACTAAAGTTTTAATATTTTTTTAAAAAAGTTATATAAGTTATAATTGGTTAAGTAATGGTTGTATAATGATTAAAACATAATGATTAAAAGGAAAATTCTTTTTTTATAATAAAAAAAAGGTATACGTATATAAATAAGTTATGTTTTTAATATAACTTTATAAATAGTTTTTTTTTTTTAAATATTATTAATATATTAATTTTAACATTATTATTATTTTAGTTACTTTATTTATTGTTTTATTATACGTACGTATTTATTAATATTAATTAATGTTGTTAAATAATAATAATATAAATTAATAAAATTAAAAAAATCACTATTACGATAATCCGGAAAACTTTATTGTAACAATATACGCAATAATAATACTTAATTTTTTATTAAAATATTTTTGTTTTATTTATAATAAATTATTACTTTACATTATTACGTAATTTTTTTAAATTTTTATTATTATATCGCAATTTAAACTTATTATTTTTCGCATTTTTATTTTTTATATAGTTTATATATTTTATAATATTATAATTAAAAAGTTTAACGTAAATGTAAACTTATGTTATAATAATTAATTTAATTAAAATAAAAAATATAAACGAGTTAAAAGATTTATTATTTTTTATTTCTAATTAATATATATTTTTTATACAATAATTCGATTATATAACCGTAAAATAAAAGTTAATTAATTTTTAAATAACTATTTTTAAACAAAAAGTAATTTAAATATTAATGGTATTAATAAACCTCGAAATTACCGATAGGAATAAGTTGTATATTTACACAATTAAAAAAATAATAAACGAGTATTAAAAATATTTTAAAAGTTTTACGGTAAATAATTTTAAAGTTATATTAAAATAATTATAATCGATATTATAAAATACGTTAATATAAAAAAATATTTATATAAAAAAATATAACGTTAATTACTCGAAAGTATTTGTTAATTTTATAATATTACGTAAGTTATTAATATAAAATTTCGATAAATTAAAAGTTGTTATAAAAAAGTAATTTAATACGTTGGTATAAAAAATATTAATATATAATATTAAAAAAAGATTAATTTACCTTAACGTATAAGTATTTACGCGTACGTATACCACGTTATAATAATAATAATTAATAATTTTTAACTTATAAACGTTAATATATACAATAACGCACGTAAAACAAAACTTACTTTCGTTTACCACTTTTACCGAAATATCTCCATTTTATTTATAATATACATTATTTATTTTATAAATGATTTTACCTTTTTTTTTTACCTTTAACAATTTATTATCAATATTTTATATTTTATCGTTTATTTAATTATAAAAATTTGTTACATAACCCTTTTTTTAATAAACATTTAAGTTTTACCAGATTTCCTTTTTTTTTTTTTAATAAAACAATTAAAATAATTTTTAAGCGTTAATTAATTTCTCCTTTTTTTTCCCAGTTTTATAAAAGATAATTATACCTTTTTAAACTATTTTAAATAACGTTTACTTTTATACTTTTTTAAATATAAATTAATAAAAATATAATTTAAAATATAACCTTAAATATAATAATGGTTTAATATAAAAAAAATAGTTTAATTAATTAGTTTTAAAAAATGTATTTAAACTTTTTAAATTATTACCGGGTAATTTATATATAATACTAATGGTTTTACCAAACGTTAAATTAAGTAAAAAAAATTAATTAATAAAAAGTTACGGTTTTTCCTTTTAAATAACTTTATTATTTTTACCAGTAAATAATTTATTAAAATAAGCTTTTATATTTATTACCAATTAAAGTGGCTAGATTTATTATAACATTTTTTTAATATAAATTTTTAATAAAATATACTTTTTAATTATTATAAATTATTTTAAAAAGGTTTAAAATAATAAGAATAATTATACGGGTAAAGTATATAATATTTTAAAAAATAAGTTTTAATTTTTTTTAAACGTATATTATATAATAGAAATTTAATAAACCTAATTTTATACTGTATTTTTTATTATTTTTAAAAAGAAAGTAATAATTTATTTCTTTTATAACATATTTTAATATTAGTATTTTACAAATATATATTTAACCATAGAATAATATTTTAATATAAAATAAAATAAAATATAATATTATTAAAATTAAATAATTATTATTTTTTTTAATATTAAAGCCAAAAAAAAAAATAAAGGTAAATTAAACTTAAAAATATTAAAAATTATATTTAATAAATTATTATTATATTAACGTATTTTTAAACTAAATTTTAAAAAAAAATAATAATTTATTACAATTATTTATAAAATATATCGTAATATTTTATAATTATAATATATTTTATTTATTTTATTATATTAGTTTAAAAATTTGGCAAATAAATTCCAAATATTTATCGATATTTTCAAAAATTTTAAAAAAACGCGCCAATATATAATTAATATTAATAATAAAAATAACAATAATAACAAATATAATATTAATTAATATTATATTAATTGCAAATATTATATCAATTGCAAATATTATTATAATAATAAAAAAAATAAATATAATTTTTATTAAAAATCGATTAAATATTAGAAATATTATTGTTAAATATATAAAAAAAAAAATATTAATTTATTAAATATTTAAAAAAGGAATGTAAAGAAATTAAAATATAATAAAAGGTTAAAAAAG